GTAGGGAAGAGGCTAACCCCACAAAAGTGGGCATTAGTCCTCTGCAAGGCATTGGCAAGGCTCAGTCATTAGGATTCATGGCAAAGTTTGTTTGTTTTTTTTTTTTTCCTGTCCACCTATGTCAGGTGTTTCTTACAGAGACACCTGAAAGATTTTTGCTCAATAAAAAACAGGAATCTAAGACAGCCATCTGCAGAAAGAAGGAAATTGCTTTTCTGATATTTGTTCTCTGCAATTCCGGTCCCAGCAGATACCACTACCATCTACTTACTCCCTGCATCCTCCTCATCTTGGCAGAGCCATACATCAGTTTATTGCAAAGCTCTAACCCTGATTAATTGTTACAGGATTCTTCTCACCTCCTGCTTAAATAGAATTACCTGCTGGAGTAAGTTGCAGGGGAAGGCACTGGGCTTGTATGGGAGCAGCTCCAGACCTAGAAGATTTAACTGACTGCACTGCCTAAACACCCACTTTCTAAACTATTTACAGTTGAGCAGCTTCTTTTCCCTGCCTGTCTCTCAAGGGCTCTGTGCTTGGCCTTTGAACCAGAAAAGGGAGGAGACGTGCATGTTAGTATTTAGCCTCTCTGTAGGTGCTCACTTCTTCCCTTACTCCACTGCTGAGAATTGTGCCTTCCTTTCTATTAATCTTTGATGACTTACTAAAGCCAACTTTTTCCAAGAGAGGAGTTTAAATCCGAGGTGTTCAGCCAGGGCATTTGTTGCCTACTCAGTCGAGAAGTGGTTGCTGCTGGTCCTTGAGACTTTTGATAATGTCTGCTGAGCTAGTATGAAAAAGAGCACTAAAGAAGGTCCAGCTAAGGAGCAGTTTGGGAGTGGATAACATCAGGTATGGGTTACAGCTCCATTGACCTACCTCTGCTGACAACCAAGACTATTGCATAGGCGAGAGATATGGAGAGACCAAGCACAGAGAGAAGAAAGGCTTTTGTGGGAAAAGGTAAAAGCACTCTGGCTCTTTGCTGTGCCTAAATCAGGTTTGTCAGGTTTCAGGCTTTTCTTTTGATATGCTTTAAACCTGGACATGCACAGATTTGCTCAGGTGCTGATGCCCCCTATCAGGAGAGCTTTAATTGGAGACTCTCCCCTCCGCACTAAGCCAGGCAGGTGGCTGTGATGGGAGCTAGGAGTACAACCGTTTTATGGTTAGGGGAGGACCTTGGTAGAGAGGGTCACAGCAGGGTTAGGCTGTTGACCTCTGAGGGCAGCTGTACCTATGTCCTTCCTTCACGGAAACCCAGATATAATAATGCAGGTGAGACCACAGATTCATACCATCATGCCCAGCTGTTTTCCAACAACCCCTATGCTGCAGCTGTCTCCTGAATTAATTATTACGACAAGAACAGATTGATGACTGAGCATCTGTGTTTTCAAGGAAATAGGGCATTTGGAAGTTCAAGCAAATTAAAAACTGTGTTGCTGTCTTCTCTGTATTTATTTTTCTATGGGAAATGGGTTTGGCTATATTTATAAATGTAATTTCCCTAAGGAGTAAACACTTTGTCTTGAAAGAAAAGTAGCATTCCTGTAGAATAGAGATTTTTCACCTCACATCTCCTTCCAGAGCTAAGGCAGACATATTAACATTTGCTAATAAGAAAGTTTGTCTGGTTTAGTATTTTGGAATTTCACAGTACTGGAGAATTAATCTCTCTCTCTCCTTTGCCACTGACACTGTTGAAATATTGCTAGCAATTAACACCTTTATTTTGTTCCATGATGTCCCATTTTGTGTCCATAAGCAGTCAGAAGACATTGTAATTAAGTAAGTTCAATTAAATCCAGGATTGATTTTTTAGGTTGCTACATTATAGTTTTCTGTTTGTCTGTGGCGACCATGGAGGAAATAATGAAATATTTAAAGACCCCAATGAAAACAGAATAATATGAATCACAGGAAAATAGTCTTTTAGGATGAAGAATAAAAGATTCATTAGTGGGAGAGAAGCAGAAAGGCTCACAGAAGATGGCACGGAGCTGTGACCCAGAAGAGCTCTCACTGCAGAATTTAAAAATTGTGTAACCATCTTCCACTGGTCATTGTTTTTCGCTTTTGCTATTATTATTCCCACCTGTGGTAATTAATGCCTCCTCCTTTCCGAAATTATGCTGGTCATTACAGCAGCAGCTCAAAGTGCTAGCTGTAAATTCCCCATCCCTGCATCTGTACTGTGCAAACACACGAGACAACTCATCCTGCATCTAAAACAACCCTGGAGGCAAAGTGTGGTCCTGAGCCAAACATGGCCAAAGTGACTGGAGCAGGATCACACAGGGAATCCTGGGACAAGGCTCAGAAGAGAAACCAGAGGTCACATCTGTTCTCTCCTGGACATATGATTTTTGACTTGCAACCAGAATGATAGAGACATTAAAGAGGCCACCTATCTTCCCAGAGGGACTCTCACAAGCACATTGCAAATGTCCATTTTGTAAACATAATACCTGAAGGGCTTTATAATTACAAGATTTTACTGATTTAGTTTGCTGCCCTTCACACAAGATGTTACTGATTTCACAGCCTTTTTACTGCATTTCACAGCAAACTGTTAACAATAGGAATCATAGCAGCCTCAGATTTCAGACAAGACATCTGAAGATCAATTCGCTGGAAAAAAACGCTGGATGCACTCTCTGGACTTAGTTCATTTAATGACCTTGATAAGAAACATATGGGGCACAATCTGCCACATGCAGGTTAGAGTGCTCTTGCGATGTGCCAGAGCAGTAGTGCGCCAGAGCAGTTGTGCACTAGAGCACAGGGAAATGACAGCAGTTAATAGTAGCATTCAGATTTGGAACTGCCTGATTTAATTGATTTACTGTTATTCTTTTGAAAAAAGGCCTGCTGTATTACGTGGCTGAACTCTTTAAAGGAGTCTTAAAATGGCTTTCAATTAAAAAAAGAAAAAACAAACCAACAACGAAGGCTGTTTATTTAGACTTAAACAATAGAGATGGGGTGGGGAATGTGCTAAAAACAGCTGATAGTCTGTTCTACAGGGTTTTTTTCAGCAGAATCTAAACATTGCCCCCCCCCAATATTTGAATGTATCTCTTTCCATACTATCTGAGAAATTGTTGAAAACCATGCAGACAATTTTGTGTCCTCTGCTCAATCACAGAGATCTGGGATTTTTTGCTAAAGATAGGACTTCAAGAATCATTTTGTAAAGTAAGATTTTACATCTCTTTTTCTTTATAAGCTAAGTGGGCATTAAACACCTCTATGTTCAAAACATATGCAAAAAAAGGTCATTCTTGGGAAGAAGCCAGTGCCCCCAAAACCCCATTTGAAAGCAGATAGCTGGAGAACACAGAAAGCAGCCAGTCTTTCTGAAGTACCATACAGACTAACTATAATAGTAATGAAATATTTCAAAAACTTTTAAAATGCATAGAAGTTCCTTTTTATTTTTATGACGATCACTCTCTTTCAGGTACGCGTCATCCTGAGTTTTTACGAATGAAAAAACCTGGGGAAAATATAAAGCCCCTCTCTTGCAAATATAGCTATCCCAAGCACCATCTGAGCGTAAACAGCATTGAGATGAATGTCCTACCTGGGCACCAGTCCAGCAATGGCAACATGATCTATAGCTACCACGCGATGGAAAACCCATGCTGCCCCCAGAAGAATGATCTGGGTAGCAAGAGTGGAAAGATTACTTGCCCCTTACCAGAAGATATTGAGCTTGTTCAAAAGAAGGCTTTAATGGATACTATTCCGGTGATTGTGAAGATCCTGGAGGAAGTTCAGTTCATAGCAATGCGCTTCAGGAAACAAGATGAGGGTGAAGAGATCTGCAGTGAGTGGAAGTTTGCAGCTGCTGTCATAGACAGATTATGCCTGGTTGCATTTACCCTTTTTGCCATCATTTGCACATTTACAATACTCATGTCTGCTCCAAATTTTATAGAAGCTGTTTCAAAGGATTTTGCATAAGGATTTCAAAGATGAGCACAATAATTTAAAAGTGAATATTACCGGTAGTTTTGCTAGATAATTTAACTCAAATAGAGAAGTGTACTTTAATGTGCTAACATACACAGAAGGGGATGAAAATAATTTCAGGAGGTAATTATTCCTCTTGTTAGTAATTGTAGTTACTGAATAGTAAACGTATCGAGCTCTGTTACTTGTAAACATATTGAGCTCTGTTACTTATTTCATAGACTAGTTCCACGTGTAATTATGTCATGATCTGTGACAAACGATCACAGGTAGACAAGAATTCAAATCTACAATATATTATTACAAGCTAAAACTAGTATCAATGTGTTGCTATGAATTTGTGAACTTTTAGATATTGTTAATAATTTAAATGTTCATTGATGACTATAAACTTTACAGCATTTTGTTGTTTTCAGTATATATGTGTTTTATAATTTTTATTTAGTGTGGCTGTGACATTCACTTCTCAGATTTGACAGACATCTCTCCACAGTCTTATGATGCTGTATATTGTATTTACGAAAATAAACTATCATCATGTTAGCTCTTACTATTGCAGTGACTGGAATGTTTTCTCAGTAAATATGTTAACAGAATATATTTTTCCCAGAATATTACTTCTTTTTTCTTTCTTTTTTTTTTTTTAATTAGGAAATGTTGGTTGTGAGGTTGGAAAAAAACTTAATTCTCCATGCTGACAATCATAGATATCATTAATGGTGCCTTCTTAGCTCTACCGCTGCTTAACTGTTGCTGTTATCTTGAAAATCTACTTAATTTGAAATATCTCTGATCTTTTGGGGCACGGTTGCCAACCTAATACTGACTTACTCTGTGTAATTAGGGCAAAAATCTTGGCTCTGCATAATCTGTAAGAAATTTGCCACTGATTTCATTGGGCTCAGATTTCATATCTAGTCTACACCACTGAAGTATTATTTTTTGAAAGTTCTATTAGTACAGTCCCCTTTCCAACTTGGTCAGTATGGCTTTGTTAAAAGCAGTGTGTAAAAGACTAATTTTATTTTGCTAAATTTTAATGTAGCAATGTTTATTATCAATTTGCTCTCCATAAGTATCCTAATATAAAGTCTATATATTAATAAAAAATAATCCATTTATGCCACTTTCCTGGAAGGTAAGTGCAAAAAAGCACTATTCTCAGTAGCAGCTTCTTTCCACTCACTACTGTGGGTGGGAATGACACCTCTGTTGGTGTGATTTTATTTTGCCTACTGACCACAGCAGAGCTACAAAAGGATGTGGTCTGATGTAGACACCTTTCCTCTTTGGGCCAACACAGCACTTTTCTGTCCACTGAATGTCCGCTAAAAGAAAACAACAACCTATTATCTTCTCTGGCTGACTTTCAACTTCCTTTTCTTCCAGTGTTAGTGTACCAAAATTAAAATTTCCCATACCTGCATGATGGGATCCTTCCCACCATTGCTATTGGAGAGAAAGAAACAGATCATGGCACTATTACTCAATGGAAGGTATTTCCACCTAAAAGGTGATGGTGAAGCTGGTAGTTCTACAGATTGAAGGAATATGCAACTATTTCTTTTAGGATAAGGTGCTTGAGCTTTTCTACTATTGAACTTTGTTAGGTGGTCATGGCTCCCTTTAAGTAGAGACTTCACTGTAATGTTACCTCTGTAGCTGTTAAGATTAGATCATCACACCAATGGATTTATCACACTGCTTGGGGTTACGTTTGAAAAGGCACCTAAAAGCTATTGGAGGTACTGACTACAGTGACCTGTTTTGTATTTCACTTAGCTTTTGCACTTCTTGCCGTTGCTTCAGTTCTGGGTGGAGCTCAAAGGGGTAACAATGGCTTATAGTAAAAGCCTCTACTGAAAATTCAATCTATATTTCAGAGAGATCTTGTTTTCCTTCATAGTAGCATTAGTGCTCTAAGTAGCTCCTTCTGAGCCTGCAGGAGAAAACTCCCATGATCTCTGCTTGTTTCTCCTTCCCATTTTGCTCTTCTACTTACAAAATTGGTCCTGCTAAGGTACAGAATGAAATTCAAGAAGGGTTTGCCTAATAGAAACATCTAACTGAACAGCAGAACTGGTCTGGTGGTTTGGGTTAGTGATATCGGGCTCTAGTCTTGGACAGCAGCTGAAATGCTCATTGTAAATTATTGCTTTAGTTATGGGGACAACCGATAAATAAAAATTCTAAATATCCAATTACTTCTGCATCTTGTGATGCAGGATGCTAAATGACTTTTAGAACACTTGCTCAAGGACCACTAATATTTTTGCTTGAAAATATCAACTTTTGAAAGTAATCTCCAGTGACAGGATAAAAAGATAAAAGCTAATGTTAAACCACACAGTCACAATAACTTACCATCCTGATGCAAAGCATGTTTCCTTACATGAAACATAGAGTTGTTGTGTAAGAGTATTTTTAACTGGTTGCATACATCTTAGGATCAGAAGGAGGATGGAAACTGTCTGAAAACAACAGCAGAAAATTAATTTCAATCACTCTTATTTTATAAAAGCCAGTGCAAACAAAAAATTCCATTTATAGATTACTACCTTATGCTGTTAGATTGCCAGGGCTGGGTTGTCTCTCATAGAAAAGTCCTAAGACTCAAATTGTGTTAATGGTATGCAGTTTACAAATCCTGACACTGGACTGAAACTGCTTGCTGCTTACTTTTTCAGATGACAAAGTAAGACAGATCCTTTTGATATCCAGTTGTCACTTGGCCTTTTGGAAGGTAATAACACTGTTACCACAAAATTTGTAAAATGACTACTGTAAAATGGCACAGAAAAATGGTTATTGTACATACAGAACATTGCAGAATAAAGTGCGAATGCATTTAAGATTTTCCTGAGAACTACAGTACACTTGGAAAGATTGATGCATCATCTGTCTATACTGATTCACAGCTCCTCATGGCATCACTAGTTAGTGTCACAGAGTATCTGTCAAGGTATTACATAATTCTAAAAGAAGGAAAAGTTCCCAAATCGATTACAAAGGGTAAATGGCAACAATAAATTAATCCATAATATCCTTTACAAAATCCAGGCACTTAAACAAATGTTACATAAAGAGTGATGGTCTTACCCTCCCCTGGTAACACGGGAACGTGATAGTAGCGCTTGTAGCTTCCTTGTGCACTTTCTCTTGCTGAGGAGTACTTTATTTCCCAGAAGGCACGGTAGATTTCTGGTACGGAGGTATTCAGCATAAGAAGGTGAGAATCTGCCCTGATTTATTCATTGAACATAAAGAAATCATCAAACATAATTTTAACTTTGACTCATGGATTACCAGTTTTTTCGAAGCATCTTAACTATCTTGACTCAAATACCTAGATATACCTGAAACAATGTGTTTTCCATTCTTGTTAGAACATTTTAGTCACCCTTGAAAGTTTGCTCTTTTATCTGCCACCATGAGAAGTATGGCTGTATAACTTCCAACAGTGAATATCAAGTATTTATTTACTACAGTAAAGCCACATAGTTCTTTCAATCAACATTAACTTTTTAGTAGTGACTATAATACAGAAGTAGAGGATCATGAGCTAAAACCATTTTCTTATTCTAAATTACCATGTGCCCAGGATAAAAGGATGGTATAAATCAGAAAAATGTTAATGAAGAACAGAGCTAATCTGGGGTTTTAGACAATAAGTGTGTCAAATACTGTGAAATCCCCACAGAATAAACAGAGATAGAACCAGCTGAAATCCCGTTCCTTTTGTGAGGCTCCTTTTGGCAGAACTTGGAAGAAAAATTTGAAACTCTGTAAAACACTTGGTGAGAGTACGTCTGGGTTAAGAGGTTAGGCTGAGCAGTGATCATTTGGCTGGAGGACTTCCGCTTCCCAGAATTATATATCCAGTTTGGAATTTTAAGCAAAACAAGGGTCTTAGTCTTTTTTTCTCTTGATGACATGCAGACTAAGGGAGAGAGGACACAGAACATATGAAATTCCAAATTTCAATTTAGAAAGAAAGCATGTGCTCAGAAAGCTGGCTCCCTTTCTTTCTTGTAGAATGAACTGGAGGCTACTAAGGGCCTACTTATACATGTTTGCACAGACAAGAGTAGAAGTATCTCTTGGGTTTGTATTTGATACCACTGCTGTTTGTTAAACCTAGACTCCATCACAACTGCTTTCCATCACCGTTTAAGATGGTCTTCAGATCTGTAACTCCAACTCCTTATCAAGTCTGTTGAATCATACAAATCATTCACACAATCTTTCTCCTGTCCCAGTATGGGAGCAAAAGCAGCTGTGTCTCAAGTGCTTTCAACAGATGCTTAATCTTAAACCTCCAATTACAGATAATTCAGTTTCCCTAATGTATCGTTGACATATTTTATCACTGCTCGTTAATCTCTGGCATATGAATGAATCTACTAGACTCAATTATTTAAAAAACGCATTTCATATGAGAAGGCAAAATTTCAGTATCGTTAGCTGACTCAGTATCAGCAAAAAAAATTCTTTGTGGTGATAATCATGATTATTATTAGTAATCAAAGTCCTAATGATCATCCATCATGACACAGTTATTTTAATATTGGCATGATCTTGATCGTGTCACAGTTATGATTTTGGAAGAAAAAGTTTCCTAGTGCTTTAACATGTAGCCAATTTCTTTTGTGAACAGAAATCTCTGAGCTGTTATGCAGGCTATCAGCACCTTGCCCTTGTAGATTTGCATTTAATGTAAGAAATTTGTGAAGACCTTCCCAAGTAAAATGTAGTTTTGACACAGTCCAGATGGACTTGTCTGGCTAAAGGAAAAAAATAGGCAAGACAAGTGTTTGAACAAAAATAAATGCAAATACAATTAGAATGTAGAAAAAGGACAGAATACTAGTAAAAATAACATGCAGTCATTCTGACGGTAAACTCTAAAAAGAGCTATTGTTGCAGAAAATAGAACTTTAAAAGATTAGTTTTTTTCAGGACACATGCTTATCTCATACAAGCATTATATCTTCTCGGTTTTTTAAATACATTTATCAGAGAAAGTGGGATCTAAATTTCAGACCAAGGACAGGAATACAGCAGTGTGGTTTTAGGAGTATCTATTTCCTTATTTAGAAAATTATTTTTGCTGAAATAATTTGCACAACATCCAAAAAGTGAATGTATACGTAACACAGTACCATGAGATGTCCGCTGTGTTCTAATCAAAATAAATTTTAAGATAATATTTGTGACATTCTTGGCATTTAGACACATAACATTGCATTCCAAAGTTTTCAAGGCACAATGGTTATTTACATTGTTTATGTAAATAAACAATATACAATGTTTATATTACATTTACACAATGATAGAACATATTTAATAAGGGGAAGGTATACTTAGGAATCCCAATATCCTTTAACTGTTTGCATCCCTCAAGGTTACAGCTGTACATTCAGCTATTTTGGCAAAAATTGTATCTTTTAAAAAGCCAACAAATAACACTGCTTTTTTTTTCTCAGAAATTTCATGTCAAAAAAAGGCATGAAAAGGCCTTTTTTCATAAAAAAAAGCATGAAAAGAACA